ATAGGACTGGTACAATTCAGTCAGGAATTGTGATGCTATGAATGTATAGTGGAAAATGAGTGAGTTCCTTTGTTGTATGTCATTTTGGATTATGTCTTTTTTTCTTGTAATGTATAACGTTTGTCAGTTATTTGTATTTTGTATGCCCAGCACTACATGAAAAAAAGGTTTTTAATGTAACCTGAGTGTATTTTGCTGGTAAAATAAATAAATGAAATGAAATGAAGTACAGCGACTTTCGTACGGTCTAAAGCTACATGTAGACATCCAGACAAATCCATGGGTACAACGAAATTAACCTACATGTACGTACAACACAATAGATGAGTCAACTAATACTACTTGTTCTAAGCTCTAAACATTCTTTGATGTATTAACCTATTTGTATACAGTAAGGGTTATCACCTAGGTTGAAATTGAATTCATCTATAGCATGAAATGTAACAAATTCTAGTTGAGCAAGCGGAGAGAAGGTTGAACAGCTTTGTTCGTTTATCGTTATATAGTGGACAATCCATAATAAAATGTTGTTCGTCTTCAATAGCATAGGGACAGAATGGACAAAACCTCTGGTCGCGGGGGATTTTTTTTACATCTTCATAATTCTATATTCCATGTATGGCCACAAATTTTCTCAATGTATGGCCACAAATTTTCTCAACGTATGGCAACAAATTTTCTCAATGTATGGCCACAAAATTCTCTCAATGTATGGCCACAAATTCTCTCAATGTATGGCCACAAATTCTCATCTTAAAAACCCTCGAAACCCTTGTCTCCGTCACGTTTTTTCTATCGCGCACTGCATGTATATCCCGGTCGTAAGATAAATAATTGGTCTTTGCACCGTGAAGGTGCATCCTACTTCACGTGATAAATCAAAGTCTACAACTACTTGTCATATGACCGACCGACCGATTGATTGATTGATTGATTGATTGACCGATTGATTGATTGACCGATTGATTGATTTTTCTTATATTCCAACATTTCATGACTAGACATGGTGACAGCACACTCAGGTTATATCTTATTTCATACCGCCACCAACGCAGAGGACAAATACAGGACAGGACAATACTCATTCTAACTTGAGTTATGTGACGAAAGTCGTGTAAAGTGCCTTTCCAAAGGCCACAGGATCTTTGGCATGTCAGGACTTGAATCCGGGACCTCATGGTTCCGAGCCGAGCATGCTGCCGCTACGCAACACGACCCCACCCGACAGAGGCTATAGATCTCAACAACCGTCAGAAACCCCGCAGCAATCAGGAAAATGCACGACGAGGTTGTTGCAGACAAATAACGGAGGCTACTAGCCTCCATAGCATGCCAAAAAAAACCTGGGGGTTTGGGGGGTCTTCAGGGTCTTTGGGACCTTTTATGTGCTATTTTCTGATTGCATAGATTCAACCTATTCAACATAGGTTGAATTACCCCCGTTTTTGTAGAACTGGGCTAATCAGAAAAAAGCCGAAGACCGCCAAACCCCCAGTTCTATAAGCCTGCTACAGAGGCTAGGACGCTACCACCACCACACCTCACCCTCCCCCTTTCCCTACACCGCACTGCGTATACACTGGCGATTTCGTAATTCAGCTGAAACTCTATGTACCCTTTTGTATCCACCACTAACGCTACATACAATCACAGAAGAGTGTTTCATACCTGGTATAGACACAGTTTTGTTCCCCCGACGACCACACAGCTGTACAGGCGGTCCTGCTGACGAGGCGAGGTCTGTAGGAAATGGCACCGAAACTTTCCACCCCCTCCTAAAGTACACCCGCGTGACGTCACCGAAACTGGCGAAACACGGCGTGATTGGTCAGCGGTGGGTGACGTCACGAAACAGTAACCGCCTGACTCGAGAGAGTGGGTCTTTTATGTAAATATCGAAACTGTCGTTAAAAGCTAAAATTAGAATCAAAGCACAGTTAAGTAAATTCGTCTCAGTTACTGACAATTGAATCAATAATGCTGGATAAATACGGAGCCTGAGTTGAAGTACTTTTTTTTCGCTCAACGAGTAACGGGGGGTGCCCTAATTCCGACCTATGTTCCATGCAAACGCACATACCTTTGGTAATAGTTTGTCTGACCAAAAATCAGCGCAACGTGAGATGTAATATTGACAGATAAAGATCACAACGATTAAAGCTGCACAGCTGTGTATTTCACTTCGGTATAGCGCCTTGCACCCAAGCGTAATGGTTCGCGAAACGCACGGCAGGTTTTTTGTCATTTTGCCGGTGGAACGTTCTATCGCAACAGGGGTGCCCTAATTCCGACCCAGTGTTTAACACAGGTCGATCTGAGAAGAGAGTTTAGAAATTATAATACACAAATTATGACTAAAACAATCTACAACTGTTTTTCTGTCCCAAACAAGTCCTCTTTTTACGATTACGCGAATTGCTCCAAAGCGGCTGTTTCAAAAGCAAAGCCTGCATTTTTGACACGCTCGTCAACCCCCGAACAAGCGTCGAATCCACACAGATTTTTCACTCGTCTGTTGTCGGAGTGTAGGAACTAAAACAAACTTTGTGAGATTACCGATATCAACACAAAAACATTGTCAATTCTTGTGGTTATTTTAGGCACGTGCTCCCATGCATAACGCCGCAACAAGGATTTTTCAAACTAGTTCGGTATTAGGGATGGGTCGGAATTAGGGCGCACCCCCCCGTTAACAGTTTATAAACGAGCAGAAAATTTACTTTCATATCGTTCTAATGTTACATAATGTACATAATGTACATAATGCAGATTTAGGAGTAGTAGTATGACTTGTTTTACACATGAGATTGTGGAGATTGCATTTCTTTTAAGAGTCACAGTGTCACAGTTAGAACATTTATTAGCAATAGTGATACCATTATGACTAACGACACTATAACAAGGTAGCTTGTATAATATCACATATACTTAACTTTGGTTATAAATGAATGAATTTATTGTACATGTACATTTTTTTTGCCGCAAGGGCTAAACACAATGTTGATAGTCATATACAAAACGCTTGACTATAGTTTATACGTATACTATTTTGTGAGAGTTTCTTTGTCCAAGCTACGAACCTTACTTGATATAAAACGTAGTCCCGAAGGAACGTTAGAACAGTAATATCTGTTAAAACAGAGAAACATAAAGTCCCTATGTTGACTATCAGCTGGCATTGATTGTAGTATATTGAGTCACTTGATGTCGATATAGTGATACATTTTTCTTGTTATGATTAATATCAACGTGGAATTATTCTACAACAACTGCCTTCATCAGAGAAGTCGTAGAAATAGCAGATATAACTACAGAGTACACGCTAGACATTCTTACCTCGAACGCTTTACGTTGAGGTGTCTGTGTGTGTGTGTGAGCATAATTGTTTACATGAATATGAGTTTTCAAATACATTATTAATAACTAGATAAATAAATACAATGTATTATTATCAAAGTCATCTCATCACAACTAAGGATTAGAAAATTTAAATATTCATATTGTCCGTATCAAGATACAAAGGCGTTATACACATTGTTATCAATCAGTATCATGTCTTATATATAGAAACGACGCCCAACACATTACTTGTCATTGACGAACTTTGACAAGTTTGATCTGTCACAGGCAACCCGATGAACCTTATAGACCGTTCCCGAAGCCACGCCCCCTTAGCAGCGCCCTTCGAGCAAGTCCTCTAATTGGCTGGGTAGCTAATTATGATTGACACATTACCCAGGGCCGGACTATGGTTCAGTTAAAGTTTCGCTGACCTGTTCCTTCGCAGGGTAAAGTTCCGTTGGACTTTGAGCATTATATATTGTCACCATTGCATCGGTTCATTTGAGCCCATACACCGGAGTGCAGTATAAGTCAATGAAACACATTTATATACTATTAGTTGATATTATTATAGTAGACTAATGCAAAGAATGAAATACAGAAAAATTAAATAACAGAGTAACTGGTTAACGTTATTCGATGTCAATAGAGAATACGATGTCAGTTGTACAATAGTAGGGCACCTGATATCGTTCAAATGTGTTTCGCGGTGAAACTTCGAATGGTCAAAGTTCATATGTTTCACAGTGAAAACACATTACTAAGGCCCATCTTACATCGTTTAAATGTGTTTTTTTTTCAGTAAAACCTAGACTGGTAAAGGTAATATTTGTTTCGCACTGAAACTTGGTAGTTTGTGGTGGTACCTCAAATTGCGTGCGTCTCATGGGTGTTGTTTCGCTGTTTCTTTTTCTTTTCTTTTTTTTTACGGTGTCGCTCAATGCAAGGCCAATTATTTTGGCCACTTCTGGCCACTTCTAGGCATAGAGCTAGAGGTACTAAAGTGAGTATAATGTAGTTATGTCAGGAGATGGCGGTGGACCTTTGTTTTGAAGTTTCATAGCGAAACTTCGCTGCTCAAAGTTCATTTGTTTCGCAGTGAAACTATGTTACTAAGGCTCACCTTTCATCGTTCAAATATTTCGCAGTGAAACCTCGATTGGCCAAATATTCATTGTTTCGCACCGAAACTTGGTAGTTTGTACTTCGAACTGAGTGCGCCTCGCGTGGGTTGATTGTTTTTGCAGCGAAATTTTGGCTGCTCAATGTTCATTTGTTTCGCAGCGAAACTTCGGCTGGAAAAAAGTTCATTTGCTCCACAGTGAAACCACATTGCTACCTCAGGCATCGACAAGTAAATTTTATAGAAGACATCGAAAAAAAACAAGATGACAAAAAACAACAGGATGCCTACCTGTAACAAAGCTACTAAAACAAGTCTTTTACTCCTGAACGTTTTGGTTGTTTTATTTTTTTTTTCAAAACCTGGCAAAAATCAATGCGTGCGTGGATGTCATCCATAAAATCTACTTACTATGGCCTCATCATCAATATCTAGTGGTTCCAGGCTAGTGAACATTCCCTAAGTTTCAAACCTAGATTGATAGTACTCATTTCTTATACCACAAGTCTCAAAAGACCCTGGAGGAAAAGGGAGGTTACAGAGAGCCCAGTTCCGTCCCGCGGTCGCCGGTACCACCAGCCAGTCCGTCCCGTCCGCGGACAGAGACGAAGGCGCTCCGGAAGCGGTCATACAGACAGGCGCAGAGAAGAGGCTTCAGGGCGGAGTTGAGGTACACCAGGCACTGTCCTACCTTTGATACACTGATCAACGCCATCGTGTCGTAACCCGACCCGTAACTAAAGCACAGATGAGCCACGTAAAACGGCAGGTACATCGCGACGAAGAGAGCAGCCATGATGATGATCAAGATGTCCGTACGCCTCCCGTCTTGGGGGCCCGCGGGACCTGTCGCCTGACGGCGGACGGCGATAATGACGATGCAGAAAGCCAGGAGCATCAGGGCGGGAAGGGCGTAGAAGAGCGCGAAGATCACCGTGTCGTACACATTGGGGTCCCAAGGCCACACGGTCCAGCAGACGAAAACGATTTCGCCATATGTTAGCAGACTCGTTACTGTAGCATGCACGATTGCGGGGATAGGAACGTGGATGGCGACGACCCAGGTGAAGAGGAGTGCGGTGTAAACGACCCATCGGGGACAGAGGGCGCGGAAAACCCGCTGGGTGGCCGCGTTCAGCACCAAGGACAGGACCCCCATGGGGACAGCAACGCTGCTGAAGTACGGAAAGTACACCGCCGCTTTGCAGCCGGACTCTCCCAGAGGAAACGACGGGAACGCCTGCCCGACAACCGCCAGCGGCGCGCTGATGCTGACCACGACGAGGTCGATGACGATGACATTTAGGATGAAGAGATCGGTGTTGCTCCATCCCCTTTTGTAGCCCATCAGTAGAGCTATCAGCATCACCGTGTTTCCGATAAACCCCAACACAGCGATGACGCTGATGACAACAACAGCCGGGGTGTCCGGAGACCCCTGATCAGCCTCCAGCTCAAAGGTCACGTTCGTGTGGAAAAAGCTGGGGTCAAGGTCAAATGAAGTGAGGTTCACAGATGGTATCTCCATCTTGCAAGCTTGGTTGTCCTTGAAGTGTCTGTAAAAGAAGACAGAAAGGTAAGAATACAAAAACTGTTCTTCGCCTTACAATTAATGTTTACATCTTTTTTATCAAAACAGAAATGAACACATACAGACAATTAGCCTCCTGTGCAGGCCCCGCGGCGGTGGGGAAGAGTTTTTAACGCGTTATTTTAATATAGCCGGTCATCCTACATAGCCGCTCATTCCGCTCCTACACAGGAGGCTACAGACAATATTGACAAGATAAAGAAGCACTCAAGTTACATCAGCGTCGGCATTCGTTAATAATAAATAATATATGTAATAAATAGATAGATAACTAGAAAGGCTGACATTTGCTTTGGAGCAAATACAGCAATGGCTTCACCACATTTTACGACGTGACAGGGAAAGAATGACAATGGAAAACAATGCTTTACATTGATATAACTATAGTATGAAGTAACATACAACTAAGACTACAACAGTTGGATAGCTATCCCCTACATTATTGGTTAGGATTTTTAATTGCATAATGCAAACTATTGATTTTCAAGATAAAAAGAAGCATTCATGCCCCGCATTCCAATGCTGGAGCAGGAAAGCTTAAAATACCTACCAAAACACTTGAATACAGACATACTGTCAGTATGGCATGGCTCTGTGCAGGTATAAATGAAGGTAAGCCAGTTAAATCCCAACAGCCAATCAGCAAGGAGAATAGAGGAAAGCTGCATGCCTATTGGTTGATGCCCTGCATGCCATTGTGAGGACTCATGCCCAAATGTGGTAAACACTGCACACTTACACAGTAATACATTAGCTATTATACAGACAAAAAAACTCAAATAAAACCATTCTAAAAGCCTGTATCACAAAAATTAAAAAACGCCTGGGGGTATTTGCCTACTGTACCTCCATACCAAATTTCAGGTCCTTAGGCCCCAAAATGAAGAAGCTGAATCCATTTAAACTAGAAAGGCCAATATTTGCTTTGGAGCAAATACAGCGATGGGTTCACCACATTTTACCACATGGCAGGAAAAGAATGAGAAACACAAGGGAAAACAATGATTTACATTGATATAACTATAATATGAAGTAACATACAACTAAAACAACAGTTGGATAGCTATTCCCTACTTTATTGGTTAGGATTTTTAATTGCATAATGCAAACTGTTGATTTTCAAAATAAAAAAAAACGTTCATGCCCCGCATTCCAATGCTGGAGCAGGAAAGCTTGAAATACCTACCAAAACACTTGAATACAGACATACTGTCAGTATGGAAATGATCTGTGCAGGTGTTAATCAAGTTAAATCCCAACAGCCAATCAGCAAGAAATGCTCTGTGCAGGTGGAAATGCTCTGTGCAGGTGTTAATCAAGTTAAATCCCAACAGCCAATCAGCAAGAAGTATAGAGGAAAGCTGCATGCCTATTGGTTGATGCCCTGCATTCCATTGTGATGACTCATGCCCAGACGTGGTAAACACGGCACACTAAGACAGTAATACATTTGCTATAACACAGCCAAAAAAACTCAAATAAAACCATTCTAAAAGCCTGTATCACAAAAATTTAAAAAACGCCTAGGGGTATTTGCCCACTGTACCTCCATACCAAATTTCAGGACCTTAGGCCCTAAAATGAAGAAGCTGAATCCATTTAAAAAATGGCAGGAGAAGAAGGAGAAGGAGGAGAAGAAACATCAGAAAAAGCAATATGGGTTCACCACCACTTCGTGGTGTGGTGAACCCATAAGAAATGGCAGGAGAAGGAGAAGGAGGAGAAGAAGAAGAAACATCAGCAAAAACAATATGGTTTCACCACCCATTAAAATATATAATGAAAAAAATATGCAATCAAAAACAACAGTATGAGGGCTAGATTCAACCTTCCTTCACGAGCGCAAGCCTTAACACCCACTCGCTAGGTATTTCGTTTAAGACACAGGCATGGCAAGGCACAGTAAAACAAATACTAAATATGTCCACTGTTGATAATGAAATCCTGAGTTTGGCTCATTATAGTTCAATTTATCTTAGGCCCTTTTCCCACGAGGATAGAATTGTCCGGATCGAGCCGAATAGATTTGCGTTGACCCGAAATGAATTTAGAAGACAAAACATCATAGAGATGTAGTAAATTACAATAATTAGCAAATTTACACACGTGTGTTCAATAAATATTCTTCTTTAGAAACTCAAGTCTAAATTAGATACAAAATAGAGATTCTAATTTAAGAAGCTTCATTAAGACATCACCTTATAACGTTCTCGAAGAAAAGAGGTCCTGTTATAATTAAGGCGTCTTAATTTGATATTAAGATTCTTTCATTAACAAGTAACACAGGAAAACGCCTTCGGGAGAAAAAAATGAGACTTTGAAGCTGAAGCGAAATGCCGCCGGTTTGATGCAGATACCAGATATGAAGGTTTTCTTTCTAATAGGAAACTCAGAAAGCAGTCAGCTCGGGGTACAGCGCTCTA